CCCAAAAGCCAACATGAAAATTGGTGTTTGTCACCAGATGGATGAGTCATAAAAGAGTTCCTGGAAGTGTCAGCATCAGATTGTGCAAATAAAGCAGATAAGGGATGTTAAATGTCAGTTATAGTTTAATATTTTACATCATCATTATTATTATTAATTTATTTGAACACCCTCATTGTTAATAACTGGTTGCAGATGTTTTATCAAATTGGTCATGTTGCTGAACAGCAAATTCTTAATTTTTTTTTTTAAAATTATTAATTCACAAGAAAAATAAATCTGAAAAGGAGAAGGAATGAGAGCTTCTTTTCCAGCCTTACCTTTTTGCTCCTGACAATGACTGGGTATTTCAGCCCTGAAATGGAATTACAAGAGAGGGAATTACTGCAACAGGCTCCAGAGAGCTGACAGAACAGGAAGGAATTCTCCTCTGGAAAATCTTCCAAGCTATGTAAGAACAGCTCTGGTCATCATTAAATTGTTGGACATGTCTGGATTTATTAATTAATAGGGGTTTTATTCTTCCCTCTGTGTGCCAGCACAGATTTCAGGATAAGGAAAATCACTATCACGAGAATAAACATGCAAGATTCAGATAAATCTGATTTTAAGAGAGAACAATTTCATTTCTCCATTTTACTCTCACTTGTTTCAGCTGAAGGGTCACCTGCCTGCAAAAAAAAGGTGACCTGCAAAAAAAAACCCAAATGAGTTTGCTGAATGCTCTCACTAAGAGTATTCAGCAAAAATACTCTTGGGGCAGGAGTATTTTTCTCATCCCTAGTGGACACAAAAAATTTAGAAATGTCATTTCAGTTAAAACAATTGTGTTTTGAACAAAATCTTTGTAGTAAATGAAGAGGGGGGGTAAAAAATAAAAATTGCAGCCTTACCATCTTCACTTTGTGCAGGACTTTCTCTGGCCATGTCCATGTCTGTGACCTCAAAGCCAGTGAGGATTGTGCCCCCTGCCTCCTGGAAATCCCTGGCATAGGACTGGGCCACTTGTTTGTAATCCACAATGCCAGTGTAGGGAGAATCCAGGGCCATCAGTCCCTGGCAGGGTTGGAGACACAGAGGAAAAGTGAAAAATTGGAATATTTTCATTGGGAATACCTGCAGGGCCATGGGAAGGGAGTGCTGCTGTCCCCCCCCATGTGCTCAGCTGGAGCTGGAACACCCCAAGGGTGTTTTAGGGAGCGGATCCAAAATGTTTACAGGGAAAATGAAAATATTATTTTCCAGAAAGTTTCTCTCTGTATAATCTACAGCCACTCCTGAGTGTCACAGCTGAAACAGCACAGGGAATTCACATCCAGCTTCCCCTTCCAAACAAAGGCAGAGTCATCAATAACAAATCTGTGTTCCACAAACTCCACACGTTCCTCCTGCTGGGAAAATAAACAGGCTGAGAAGTGCTACAATAACAACCTGACTGAAATGGGCCTGATCCAAAACCACTTCTATGGATGGGAAGGAACTTCCAGGCTCTTCTCAACTTGGAGCTCAAGGCCAGAAAACCATTTGTTAAATTGTGTTAAATTGAATTTTAGAAATGGTTAAAATGTGCTAAATTTGTGAAATTAAAAGATGTTTTCACCTGAGAAACAGCTCCTACAAGGTCGAGAGAAGGATGGCAAGCCCTTACCCTGCAGAAGGGCTCCTTCTCCTGGATCTCCTTGGCCCCGATGAGTCTCAGCCCTGGGACATTGTTCTGCAGCCCCCTCTCGTACAGAGCTCTGAGCCTGGGGATCTCATCCTGCTCCACAGCCACAATCAGCTGGGGAGGAACAAAGGCACAGCAGTGAGCAGAGCAGGGCAGGGCAAAGCTGGCATCAAGCACAGGCAGCAGGGAGTGAGTGAGCAATGAACCCAGGAGTGAAGAATGGCTGGTGCCATTCACTGCACAGAATTCTGTTGCTGAGGAGGCATTAATATAGCACAGAGAATTAAAAAAGAAATGCTAAACTGTAGTTTGGGTTACAATCAATTGACAATATTTGCCAGAAGCAGACTGAGACTACAAGTCTTCGTGTGAGGGAAGAGAATTTGAATTTGAAGAACCACTGGGATGCTTTCAGAAGCAAAATGAACTGAACCCAACATGTATGAAAATCCAAGAGCTTTGATAAGAGAGTGGGGACATGCTCTGACATGGCCTGAGTGGAATNGAGCTTTCTCCTCTCCAGGGATGAACATTCCCAGCTCTCCCTGGAGCTTTCTCCTCTCCAGGGATGAACATTCCCAGCTCTCCCTGGAGCTTTCTCCTCTCCAGGGATGAACATTCCCAGCTCTCCCTGGAGCTTTTCCTTCTCCAGGGAACACTCCCAGCTCTCTCTCCCAGCCCTTCTCTCCCCCAGCACCCTGGGCAGGTATTTCCTGATGCTGTCTGGGTTGATTAAGTTATCTCAGTGCAGCAGCCACACTCCCAGCCTGGCTGAGACATGTCCTGGCACAAAACCCAAATATGAGACCACACAAAGCCAAATGCCTTGGGGAAGTTCACCCTCATCAGCACAAACACCCCAAAAAGGTGGGAAAAGCAGGATTTGGCCATGGTCACACCTCCCCAAGAGCAGACACAAACACAAACACAAGGCACCATTACCTGTAGGTGACAGCATCCAGGAAGTCCCCAGGGCTGAAGTCCAGGGGTTTGTAGCCCTCTCTCTTAAAGGCCAGCACTGCATTAGGGCCAAGCCAGACACTGCCATCCATCCTGGGAGTGAAATGGAAGCCCAGGAATGGGAAACGAGGGTTGGGCACCTGCAATGGCACAGCAGTGAAATTCCCCATCTGATTTCCCACCACAGCAACAAAACTCAGTCACACAAGCTCAGCACTGGCTCTGAGCTGGTTAATTGTTGCTGGTTAATTGTGCAGTTGTGGCATGGCATTAATTAAAGGTAAAGCTGAATTTTAGGGAAAAGGAAAACAAATAACAGGGGGGGAAAAAATCCACATGATTTCTCAGGGTATAAATCAACAACACCCTGATGTGATTCACCAGCAGCAACAAAAAATACAAAATATCAGAAACCCTTACTGTGTGTACAAAGCAGCCTGAACTTAGCAGGTTAATGCTAATAATAATGCTAATAGTGCTAATAATGCTAATAATAATAAATAAATAAAATAATATAATAGATAATAATAATAAATAATAATAGATAATAATAATAAATAAATAATAATAATAATTAATAATAAATAAATAAATAATAATAAATAAATAATAAATAATAATAAATAATAATAAATAATAAATAAATAATAATAAATAATAAATAATAAATAATAATAGATAATAATAATAAATAAATAAAATAATATAATAAAAATAAATAAATAAAATAAAATAATAATAAATAATAATGCTATATAAATAATAAACCAAATAAATGGGGTTTTTTTTGTTCCACTTCCTCCCTCCCATCCCAAGACAGGGTCCTGAATCATTCCCAGGTGAGATCAGACAAACAGAAATTCCCAGCATTCCAGTTTTCCCAAAGATCCAAAGCCAATCTCCTATTCAGAAAATCAGTATTTAAATGGGCAGAATTGGCCCAAATGCTGCCCTAGCAATTCTCTCCACTTGCTCTGTAATTCATTTTCTGTCTGGGATTGCTGCTCTTCATCCCATTATCTGTCTGGTTTAGGTGTGGAAAGGTTGTTTTCTTTTCTCCCACATCTATTTTTAATGACAAATTCAGCTAATTCAAAAACGAGGTTGAGAGGAGAATACCTAAAGCTGAGTGTTGGGTATTGGCACAAAAGATGAAAACCCTTTATCAATAACTTATCCCAGAATCCCTGGGGTTGGGAAAACCTCCAGTGCCACCTGGGAATTCCCTGAGGGTACCTTCAACACCTTTTATTAACACAGATTATCAATAAAGAGATTAAACAATCTGTGTTTATATAATTATAATTATAATTATAATTATAATTATAATTATAATTATAATTATAATTATAATTATAGTTATAATTATAATTATATAATAGACTGTTATAATTATTAAATAATAAATAATAATTCACTGTCACCTCTCCCTCACTACAGATTCATTTTAGGACATATAGAAATAATTTACAGTTTTCTGGATATGTGGCAATGTGATATTCCTTTTTTCTCTATTAAGTAAAAAAAAAACCCCAAAAATAAACCCATAAATGAAACAACTGGCAATAACTTCCTATGTGGTATTTCCATGTTTTCCACAATTAACCAAAAAAAATTAATGAAGAAAAAATGAACAAAACCCAAGTGTCCTGTCCCAAACCAACCCAACCTCCACCCACGTGTGTGCAGAAACAACCATGGAATTTTCCTTTTTCCTGCATTTCAGCAGCTCTCAGGGCACACAGAGCAGGGGCACTCACTGGATAAATGTTTCCTTTGACCAAATAAGATTTCTGTGGCTTGAGGAGCAGATAATCCCCCCGGAAAGGGACGATCCTGGGCT